GAAACCGGCCTGTTCATCCCGTAGTCTTGGATCCGTTCCTGTCTTGATTCTCTCCAGAATGATTCTGTTGAAGACCTTACCTGGTATTGAGCAGCTGAAACTCTTCTTTCTTGTATCCGTCCAAGAGACTTACTTGGAACTTTGTTCTTTTGATTCCTGTGCTGGTTCCGTGCTTTTTGAGTCGAAGCTTGAGTTTTGCCAATAGCAGATGATGATCCGATCCAACATCTGCCCCCTCTCTGTACTTTGACATCTTCCAGTGAACGCCTGAACTTACGAGAGATACAAAAATGGTCTATCTGGTTCTCCGTCACTCCATCTGGCGAAAACCATGTGGCCTTGTGGATCCTCTTGTGGGGAAAAACAGAGCATCCAGTAACAAAACTGTTGAAAGCACATATATTTGCGAATCGCTCACCGTTCTCATTCATTTGGAAAAATAAGCGCAGCCGCAATATTTTGGACATTTTTAAGGCGATGGAGTGATTTATTCGAAAAGGCAGCTAGAAGAAGAGAATTGCAATAATCTTATTTCGAGAGAATAACATTTATGATTACAAATAATCAAGCTTAAAAAAAAATGTAAGATTGCATCATGCGGCTCCCAAATTGGAACAGCCAGGGGGGTTCTAAAGTATCGGAATGCCCTGTAAAGCACGCTGGAAATCGTGATCATGATGATTCCTTTTCTCATTATCATTATAGCATATCAGTGAAAACCTTCAGAAGCGCTGACTCATTACTGTGATTTGCCTTGCATATTGATTGGAAATCTTTAACCACATATTTTAACTTAATATGGTCTACAAGAATGACTGTTGAAATTTGAGCCTATGTAGTTTTGTGGATCAATTCAGCTATTACTACCCCTTCCACCCTCCATCCCTGCATATCCTCCCACGTACACAGCCTCACGTTCACAAAGGCAAACACTTAAACAGATAGAAATGGAGATCGAGGATAGATAGATAGATAGATAGATAGATAGAATGAGATAGATAGAGAGAAAGGGTGCATGTGTGTTTGTGTGGGTGTATGTGTGTGTTTTTGTGTGTGTGTGTGTGTGTGTGTGTGTGTGTGTGTGTGTGCGTGTGTGTATGTGTATATACAGGTTCGTCTTTCTTCGGAGAAATCTTTAAAATCACTTGGTATTTATTCAGATGTGGTGTTTTATATGTCATATAATATATTACTTGTATATATAACAGAAGAGGAACTGTGCTACGACCCCAAAACGAAAGGAGACGATTACACAGGTGATAAGTCCGTTTCAGAAACGTACGAACCATGTCTGCCGTGGAAAGACGCTGTGAGCTGTGTGGACTTTCCCTTTGATGGGTATGTACAAAAAGTTAACAACAGCTAATACGTTAGTGCATAAGGATTCATCAAAGTCTTGTATTCATATGGGAAATGTTAAGATTTAAAGAAACCATTGAGTTAGAGGGTTGAGAAATAGTATCTTCTATAATAATGTGCTGGTCGGTGATTTGGTTATTGTGAAAAGTGGTTAACTATGTTTTTAGAACATTTTGAATAAATGCTTCTAGGCAGAAACGAAGTTGCTTCAGATGTTGCAATTCAAGAGCTAAAACGTTCATAGTTAGGCAACAATACAATATTGCATGATTAGTAGTTTCCGTTCATATACTAGCAAGCAGCTTGCAGGCAGGAAATGTAAAACCAACTATGTTAATCAGAAATGTATGATGAGCTGTAAGCTTTAATCTAAACAGTGGGAAACTGGTAGTTCTGGCATGGTGTAACTTTCAACTTCAAAAGCAAAGCTAAGGGTTTTATTTTATTTTATATCCACGTTTTATATAACATCCAAAGTTTAAATCAGGAAATATATGTGGAGGACAGAAACGGGGGAAAGGGATGGGGGCGCGGAGGGGGGTGGGGGCTCCATAAAACAACCCTTTCCCACCAAAAGGTAACTTCGGAAAGTATGGACCAAAAATTGAAAAAAAACGAAAAAAAAGAGCGAGGAAGAAGCCGGGGAGTTTTTTACCAATTTTTACAGTTGGAGGTTTATCCTCTCATCT